CAAATTGAACAAGTGGTGACTTTAGTCACAATGACGTCAACTGAAACCATCTATTGACATGAATAGAAAAGGTTATTTCAAGAGATTTGGGGGTCAAAATAACTCAGCACACATATTGAATAACTTCAGAAATTTAAACAACAAAATCAAAAAACCTAAAATTAGATAATTATTGAAATGCAGCTATAAAATTCCCATGAAATCCCACCCACATATATATGCCTAACACTACTCCACTGATTCTAGACAGAAGTGCTATTCCATATATAAATAATAAGAGTTATTTCTGATTAATTTGATTTGAATATCTAGTGCTCCTGCTACATATTTAGAGATTTTTTATAAAATCCAAAGAAGAATGTGCAATGTTATTAGTCCTAACCTGGCATCTTGGCTTCAATCACCTTCCTACTTCCATTTCAGTGCCTTTTCTCTAAATACTTTCATAGCAATTTTTTTTGATGAACATTCCTCTATGGTACCTAGAATTTATGAATTTAAGTGAAGAACAAAATTGGTAACAAAGTCTCATCATTTTACAGTTGAAATGGCTACATGCAACCACAAGTTCTATGCTAATAGTTTCTTCTACTACATTTCTTGTTTGTGGAACTCTTCCAGAGTCTTACTTACCAGTCAACTTTGATCTTTAAAGACACTTGATGTAGGCCTCGGTGTTGAGACTGAGGCCCTGAACAAATTCAGTTGTTCTTTTCTTATCAGAACAATCAGAGTGACTTTTCAAAGCTGCTGCACCTTTGTAATCACTATTAGACTCATCCAACTCTTCTCAAATCATCTGCACTGACATCAAATTGACACCTAAACAATGAAATGTTTATATTGGAGCTTCCAGTGTCAATACCAAACAGTACAGCATGCAGTTTCCAAATTTTTGGTAGAGTGAATTGCGTCATGGTGCACTTTTTCTCAGAGAATGCCCAACTGACCCTACTATACTGTGAAATCATCTAAAGTAAAAACAAACGTGCATGCAAAAATTAAAAATATAAAATGGTGACAATTTACTCATCACACTGTGTGTTTATATTTATATATATATATATATATATATATATATATATATATATATATATATATATATATATATATATAAAAAACAAAGTGTGCAGATACACTGTAGGCAGAAGTGCTGATATATATATGTAAATAAGCCATTTTTTTATGAGTACTATGCTAACCTTAATATTATATACATTCAGTCCCTCTAACACGTAACTATAGTATACCCTCTAGAAATGTTGAGGCAATTAGAGCTCTGTATAGAAACACCACTGCCACCATTGTATTGCCTGATGGCAAAACTGATTCCTTTGAAGATAAAGCAGGAATTCTACAAGGTGACACACTTTCTACTTTTCCGTTTATAGCTGTTCTGGACTATGTTCTGCATATTTCTCTCAACAACATGGAGGAAAAAGGACTCCTTTTGAAACCTCACCAAAGTAGTCAGTACACTCCACAATTCCTGACTGACCTTGAATTTGCCAATGATCTTGCATTAATTTCTCAATGTATCAAAGATGCTGAATCCTTGCTACAATCACTTGAGCAAGCAGCAAAGCAGGTAGATCTCTATTGCAATGTGAATAAGACAGAATATATCACAACCTTCCCTGAACCATCCGAGTTGAAGTCACTCAATAATATATCCATCAAAAGAGTTGAGGACTCCAAATATCTTGGAGCTCACATAATAGATTCCCAAAAGACTTCAACATCTGCTAAGCTCTTGCATGTGATGCATGTAACAAATTTCACAAGATTTGGCACTCGAACCTTACATCCCCTTTAAAAGTCCAAACATTTCAAACACTGATTGAACCAGTCATACTTGGACATTATCTGTTCATTTTGAAGGACGATTGAATGGAACACTTGCAAATCTACTTAGAAAAATCCAGAACATCAGTTGGAGATCCCATGCAACGCTTAACACAACTTACAGAGACCAATCTCTCTTATGCTCAAAGGAAAACAGTTACAGTTTGCCGGCCACTGCTACTGAGCGGACGGGGAGGTCATCTCATCCTTACTTCTATGGCATCCTTCTGGAGGTGACTTCTCACAGAAGTTGACTTTCCCAGACACCATTGCTCAGGACTCCGAGTTAGACATTGGGGATCTGGAAAAGGCAATGCAGGACCAACCACAGGGAGGCTGAAGGATGATGATGAACACATATACTATAAAATACATACTATATATTTACTAAGCTTAGTCTAGTCTGACACAAGATCAAATAGGAGATGTGGAAATGTTTTACCAATCTTGCAAGAAATGTTTACTACTTTAAGTATTTAAATCATGTCAGTTAATTAATCTCAAACACCAATCTCTACAAAATATACAAATACCTCAATGCTTACAGCTACATCATGTTGAAACACCAGTTTCCACATGATCACTGAAGTCAAGCAGCATGAAGCCTGGTCAGTATGTAGATGGGTAACTACTTGGGAATACCAGGTGCTGTAAGCTTGGATGTGCAAGAGGTGCAATGGATAATGGCTTGGAATTGTTAATCAGAGTACCAAGTTCCAATTACATTGTGTTCATCATGTTCACTTTCACATAAATACCCTTGGGAACAGTATGAATACACCACTTCTCCCCCTCAGCTATGGGTTAATTAGATAAGACTTGTAACACTAAACCATTATCATTTATTTGCTTAACTGTTGAAACACTGGTTCCCATACAATCACCAAAGTTAAGCAGCATCAACCCTGGTCAGTACATAGATGGGGGACTTTCTTGAGCATACTAGCTGCTGTAAGCTTGGATATGCAGGTGGTGTAATGGTTAATGGCTTGATATTGTTAATCAGAGTGCCAAGTTCTAATTCCCCTTGGATTCATTATGTTCACTTACACACAAATACCCTTGGAAAAGGTATGAATCTACCTACTCTCCAATCAGCTATGATTCAATTAGTAAGACTTGTATACTAAACCATTATTACCTAAAAAGAAAAAAAAAAAAAGAGTAAGGGTAAGAAAAATGTAGGAAAAAAAGAGTAAGCATAAGAAAAAAAAAGAGTAAGAAAAAAAAAACACGAAAGGAAAAAAAAAACAAAAGAGAAAAGAGTAAGAAAGAGAAAAGAGTAAGAAAGAGAAAAGAGTAAGAAAGAGAAAGAAAAAACGATTAAGAAAGAAGTAAGAAAAAAAAAAATAGATTCTTAAAATCTAAAAGTATTTTCTGGATTCAAATAACCTGCAATCAAATAAATACCTCAGTAATGTCCTATATTATATATAAATCCTTGATATTCAATTAGTGAAATACTTCAATTTAATTTTTGATTACAGTAAGAAAATGGATTGAAGGCCTCCAAAAAAAAAAAAAAAAAAATCCAATATAACCTTATTTGAAATAGAGGAACATCCAGCATTAGAGAATGAAAGTTTATAAATGAAAAATTTCCAATTCTACAGATTCAAATCATGATAAAAATTGCAGTTAATATTTTTTTTTAATTTCTTCTACACATTTGATGATAGCATAAAATAAATCCACCAAAGACAAAGAAAGTTACAGAACAAAATCTTTATTCCAAGTATATAGGACAATACCCTTGGGAAAGGTATGAATCTACCTATTTACAAAACTGTAAATACACATGTAAACATTATTTATGTAATACTGATATATAACATTAACAATACATGTACCAGACATGGCTTTTGATTACTTTTGAATATCTCATTAATTTGTCATATTATTCAAATGTGATTATATCCTTTTCCTGCTCTGGTTTTTGACAAAAATCAGCCTCCTTCTTTGTTTTTATTGTGGATTACTGGAACACCGCCACAAAATGGACTGATCTAAAAACATAAATAGCATACTCTCTTACTGAAAGAGTGGAAATTGAACAGAACTCTGGTCAAGTTCCCAATTAACTGTTATTCCAGTAAACTGTGTTCTTGACAGTTATTACCATATTATTCTTCAAAATAAATTACTACTTTTTATGTGTATAGACTTATCCATTTCACAATACAACAGTTTTCCTTACCTTGATATTATCAATGATAATCTTTCAAAAATTTTCAATTGAAGAGAAATCTAGACTTCAGATAAGTCAAACCATTACCTCAATGTTTTCAGCTTTGAAGAACTATTTGTTACTGTTTCTCCAGTCAGACAAACAGAATTATTATATATAAATATAGGCCAAAAACTGAATGAACTGGCCAACAAAAATATGCTATCACTTTAACCGATTCTTTTCAAAGTAATCTTTCACCTTTAAAAAGATGTGAGCCATGGAAATTAAATTCACATTTCATCACTGAAGAACTTTTTGACCCAATTTTCATTGGTCCACTTGTAAAAGTGAATTCACTTTTTTGATTCTTCTTGATGAGAGGATTTGATGCAGGAAACATTCATGAAGCCCTGATTCACATAAGTGAAACAGCACTCTACCAAATTTTCATACCAATTTCTTTGGTTACCGGACATACAAAGACCACTGTTTTGTTAAAACAGTTCACTGTGGAGACACTGACTTTTTGATATTAAATGTTTGTTTAGTTTATTTATTTTTTTTTTTTTTTTTTTTAATCAATTTCACCCCAAGCAAGGCAGTAAGGACACAAGGGATTACTAGGTGTGGAAGAATAGAAAACAGAAATTTTACTAAGTAAGAACAAAAGAAGAGTAATCAGGCGAACAGTAGAAAGCAATTTACATTGCGTTTAAATTTTTGAAGTTGGCTGGAAAGCAAGGAACCAGAAGAGAGTTCTACAAGCAAGAAATGTGAGAAAGAAACTGTTAGCATAGAACTTATGGTTATTACGAGACCTCATTACCAGTCTAATACTGTGCTTAAATTCATAAATTCTAGGTACCCTGGCAAAGAGCTCATCCGAACAGTTGCCATAAAAGTATTTATAAAAAAAGCACAGGGAAGCAACTTTACATCAGTGGGAAAGTGACTAAAGCCAAGATGCCAGATCAGGACCAATAATATATAAAATCTTTCTGCTTTATAAAAGTCAAAGTTAACTAAATTATATTTACATTTCATCCCTGAAGAACATTCTGATCCAGTTTTCATTGTTCCAGAGATTCACTTGGAAAGGCAAATTGAGCTTTTTAATTCTTCTTGATGAGATTTGATATGGAACAACACTGCCAAATTTTCATAGCAATTTATCTTCTTACCTCACATGCAAATCCCAGTTTTGTCAAAACAGTCCACTATAGAATTTCATTGAATTGCCTGGTTCTATCAAGGAGCCATTTTACATGGCCGTCCTGGTGTTTTAAGTAACTTAAGAGAAGCAGTATCATCACAATATTAATATTCTCAAAAGTACACTCTCAACTTCATCTGCAATATCAGAAATCATTATCCATTGAGATTTTAGTGTGATAACCTGATACCAATATTTTAGTGAAGAATGCAAGCATTAGGAATGAGATGCTACATAGACCAAATCACAAATGAAACAGTGCAAGACACCATCACACAAGAAACCAGCCTATTTGAAGACATATCCACTGTAAAGAAGAAAAAGTTAAATAGATAGAGACACTTCATAAGAGCCAAAAATCTTTCCACTACTATCCACAAGGTATACTACTACGATGGACAAAAGCAGAAACAAAAAAAAAAAAAAAAAAAACCTGACAATATCACTGAGGGGACAGGAAGATCATTTACACAGACTCAGACATTGCTACTGCAAAAAAAGAAAAAGGCAAATTTGTTCTGAAAGATTTTTTCAATCAAAAGATTTTAGAAATATTACTCATTCATTCTTTTATTAGCATACAAAAATTAACATCTATATGCACAATACAAAGAAAGTTATAACAATTTTAAAACAGGTGTTCATGGCTTTGCACACTCAAAAAAAAAAAAAAAATGCAGTGGCAGTGGGGGGGGGGAACAATTCTAGAAAGAAATTAGTGTGGTAATGGTTTAATTTTTAGTTGCTTCTCACAATAACTTTATAGCCAAATTTTTAGAGTCGCTGCCATTCATTGGTATTTTAATTATTATTAGATGAAATTTCAACAATTATTTATTTTTGACTAAAATTTAATCTTAATTTTATTTGCTTTTCATCACAACTATTCAGACCATCACACTGTAAGCAAGTAGTAATATCTTGAAATTTTATCAAATAAGTGTACCTCCAAAACTCTAGATGACCAGAATTTGGCAGCTGATCACTGCTCTGCTATAGCTCTAACAGATCATTGGGGGAAGGGGGGGGCTATCTGGTCACATTCAATGCCTCAGAAACCAAACTAGTGACATTTATCATTGCCGATTGAACTTTAACCAATCACAATGAACAGATATTCCCTCAGGGAGACCCCATACCTTGAGAGACTATTGAGACTTAAACTTTACACAGACCTCAAGTGGAACTTATATATACGATCCATCACTAAAGATACTGAAAACAAAAAAGGTTAGTTTTCTGCACCTCTGCAGTAAGTATCCGACTCCTCCTGCTATCCTCTACAAGGGCCAGATCAGGCCAAAAATGGAGTACTGCCCACTTGCCAGTCCAAAAGCATTTCTCCATCCTTGTAGGTGTTCAATTATTTTCCACCCTACAATCCCTTTTCCACAGATGAAATGTCACAGACTTGTACTATCACTATTTCCATGAAAAGTGTTCAGATTAACTACATGGCTAAGTTCCACCAGTTCTAAGCGTCATGACTAAGACCCACCATTCCATGCACATTGTAGCAAACAACCTTCATTTCCTTCATTGGTGAGATGTAAGTTCCACTTGAGCAGCTTCTTCTTCTCACGATCCACCACTTTGTGAAACAGACTCATAAAAGGATGCTTCCCTGATCACTACAATCTTAACCTAGGGTAAACCATTGTATTACCCACATTGTACTGCTCTAACTTGAGTGAGTCTTGAGCCTTGTACAGGGTGAACAGTGAAAAAAAAAATTTAAAAAAATGAAGCACTGTGAACAATTGTTGACGACTTATATTTCTTTCCTCTCAATTTCAGTCATTTTTCATACCAACTATTCAGACCATCGCTCTATTTATCTATTAAGTAAACAATTAGTAATATTATCTTGAAGTTTAGATGAAGCATTGGAAACAATTATTAATTTTTGACTAGTATTTCTTTCCTCTTAATTTCAGTTGTTTTTCATTGTAACTACTCAACCTGTTATTTCACAGCCGTTACTAAACAGCCCAGATTAAAAATAAGGAATGAATACACATCTCTCTCTTTGAAAAGCCCATGTCACTGTGATAGCAGATCTAACACTTGAGTTACAAGAGGCAACAGCTGTAGAAGATCAAATTTAAGCATGTGGCCAGAGATTCTCAAATGAGAAATACTTAACTCCAGAGGAAGGAATTTCAAGTCTAAAAGGAATTTCTGTCATATGCTAAAATCATAAATTGAGGAAAAAAATAAATAAATAAATAAAAAAATTATGAGATGACATTTCAAAATGGGAGAGGAACCA